CAAACATTTCTAGAACATTTTTAGAATTGTCCTAGGAGTTTGAATCATAATATTCTTCAAAAAATTTTTTTTCTTTTCTTTTTTTTTTTTTTTTTTTTAAATAGGGTTTCACTCTTTTTCACAGGCTGGAGTGCAGCGGTGCAATCTCTACTCACTGCAACCTCTGCCTCCTGGGCTCCAGCGATTCTCCCACCTCAGCCTCCCGAGTAGCTGGGACTATACAGACACATACCACCATGCCCAGCTAATTTTTGTATTTTTAGTAGAGACGAAGTTTCACCATGTTGGCCAGGCTAGTCTCGAACTCGTGACCTCAAGTGATCCACCTGCTGCAACCTCCCAAAGTGTTGGAATTACAGATGTGAGCCACAGCACCCAGCCTTGAGAGTTTTAATGATGGCAAATCTTCATGCTTTTGAGAATGGGCTTGATTTTTGGACACATTTAAAAGTCATTTAGATCAAATCCAAAGAAAGTGAGAAAGTAAATGACCAAACCAGGCACTGATGATAAAATCATAAGAACGGTGACTTGTGAAATTCATAAATGGTCCCTGAAGATCCTTTAAAAGACAAAATTCCTTTAAAAGCCCTTTAAAAACTGTTTTGTGCATAACTGTAATAAGGGTATAATTTTTCATTTACTTTAAGGTCTTTTATCTTATTGAGTTGGATGTATATATTAACTCGCTCTTCTTAATTCTCAGATTAAGGCCTTTCATGATCTGTCCCTGCCAGCTATCCAGCCCCTCTTTCCCAATTTTCCAGGCTCCTTAAGCCTTAGTCATCACTATGCCAAACTAATCATATATACTGTTCTTCACTCCATATATATGTTTGTACATATGTTCTGTCTACTTTATCCACCTGATCAACTCTTATTTGCCTTTCAAAAGTAAGCTCACATTCCATGAAGCCTTCCTGCCTTCCCTGTTCCCTGGACCTGGAGTTAATAGTTCCCTTAGCACCTTGGAACACTTTTATTATAGCCCTTGCTGCACTATATGGTCATTACTTGTTTACACGTCTGCCTCTACTTTAGACTGAGTCCCTTCAGGGCAGGGTTCATGTCTCTGTATCCCCAACACCTAACTGCTAGGCACATAGTAGATGCTCAATACACATATGCTGGATGAGTGAATGCATCCTTACTGAATGAAGCATCTGTGTGCCCCACACCTCACTGACACAAAGCAGTGTGGAGCTCCCTCTGTTGGAACCTAAAGAAATTTACTAAAGAAGTGGGGTGAAAACCTAAAACTCAGTCCCAGCTTTAACTCAGCTTATTTTTGTATCTAAGTGAGGATCATGTCTAAGTCTGGGATATCTACACTGAACAAGAACTTCCCATCTTCCTCTGTTTTCAGCCTAGGAACAACCATGAAAGGAAAGGAGCAAATGAAATCTGTATTATAATAGGTTCTATTTGAACATGATTAAATTAAAGCTAATGGATTGATTAAATAATAAACACGAATTAAATACTAATTGTCAGGTGTGCCTCCTCCTTTTATTCATTCTTCTTAAGTTTGTTTTTTTTTTTTGGGGGGGGGACGGAGTTTCGCTCTTGTTACCCAGGCTGGAGTGCAATGGCGCGATCTCGGCTCACCGCAACCTCCGCCTCCTGGGTTCAGGCAATTCTCCTGCCTCAGCCTCCTGAGTAGCTGGGATTACAGGCACACGCCACCATGCCCAGCTAATTTTTTGTAGTTTTAGTAGAGACGTGGTTTCACCATGTTGACCAGGATGGTCTCGATCTCTTGACCTCGTGATCCACCCGCCTCGGCCTCCCAAAGTGCTGGGATTACAGGCTTGAGCCACCGCGCCCGGCCCCTTAAGTTTTAATTACTAAGTTAATGATCAAGAATGGTACTACGTTGGGCTGAAACCTAGGATTTGGAATACACCCATTCATTCATCTACCAAATATTGTTTAAATTGAATTTTAAAACCGAGGCTGAATAATTATAGAGCACCTGTTATATATCCAACACTACACTGAAAAAAATATATGAAGATGCCATATATTTAGCTTCATAGAATTCACAGCCCAGGTAATAGAACCTTCCATCTGCAAAGCTCTTTGCAAAGCATTTGAATACATTGTGTCATTTAATTCACACTATTCTATTTTACCCAATTTTCCTCCTCTGCTTTAGAGAAGGAAAATGAGGATGGCAGAGATGAAGCAGTTTACCCAGCTACTCAGCTCACCCTGGCCAAAATATAAATGGAAAAATGAGGGCTCAGTCCTGGAGTTCTGTCTCTAAATTCAAAGCTCTTCTCATGGGCTCACACAAAGTCAATAGTCAATAATTTCTTTTTTTTTTTTTTTTTTTTGCTTTTTACTATGGAACATTTCAAACATATACAAATGTAGATAAAATAATATAACAAGCCCCATGTCCTATCACTCAGCCCTTATTATCAGCAACCCATGGTCAACCTTTTTTCATTTGTATCTTTATCCACCCACCCAATATTATTTTGAAGCAAATTGAAGATATCATATCTTTTTGCTCAGAAATATAACTTCTGTTGAGAGAGAAACTTTGGCACACATTAAAACTTTGAAGAGTTTATTTGAGCAACGAGCAATTCTTTGATCAGGACGCTTCAAACTGGAAATGGTCTGGGCTTTGAGGAAGGAGCAGGAGGGGAAGGCTTTAGTAGGGTGAATGCAGAAGCAGAGCAAAGACATTATTTGATTGGTTAAACTTTCAGTAATTGCCTTATTTGGACTATCCAATAGGAAGTTCAAGACAATATAACTAATGTCCAGTTGGTCTCCTGTGATTGGCTAAGTTTCTTTTAAATTAACTGCTTACAGGAAATGAGACTGAGTTAGGTTTTAGCTTGCTCAGTAGGAACTTAGAGCCACCTCAGTCTAATGGCCCCTCATTTACTTATTTAAATACTTCAACACCATTATCATATTTTATTTATTTTATTATTATTATTTTTTTTGGAGATGGAGTCTGTCTCTGTCACCCAGGCTAGAGTGCAGTGGTTCAATCAATCCTCTCGCCTCAGCCTCCCAAGTAGCTGGGTGTGCACCACCATCCCTGGCTAATTTTTTTTTAATCTTTTTTTTTTAATTGAATATTTATTGTTCCAGAAGGTACATTGCTTTTTATACATATATCATAAATGACACAGGATTTTACACATGTTCAATAGTTTGCTATTTGTTTAAAGAACTTTTCTCCATGTCCTCCCTCTCTTGCCTCCCACACACCCCGAAAAGGTTTGCTCATTGCACTGTGCTGTTTCTTCTTAAAAATCCTATGCACAAACAGGATAAATGGTTTAAAAATAATTCACACAACAAAAATAAATGAGGGAAAGAGCTGACGACTGGGGGTGGTGGTGGGAGAAGGAAGTGGGCGGAGGGTGAGGAAGTGGAGACATGCATCCTTTCATTCCATCATGCCAATGAAAGGGATGGTGGCAGGAGTAGCAGCAGCAGCAATCCTGGCTGGCCTGCAACCTTTGCAAGGCACCTGGAGTCTGGGTTTGTCATTTAAAGTTCTTCTTTTCATACACAATGATCCCAAAGGAGGAAGAAAAAGAGAAAGAAACTCCTTGCCACAATGACGAAAAATGAATCATGTGAAAGAAAAGGCCAATCAGTGGTGTGGCAGCCCCCGTCATCCTTTCCATCCTGCCCCTACAGCAGTTAAAAACAGGATATTAGACACCGATTCCTTTGACTCTTCAAGCGCAGATGCCATCTGGAAATATGGTAGAAAACATTTTGACAAAGTAAAAGATTAATTTTCTTTCTCTCAGTTTAAGATAAGAAAACATAGGGTGAAGAGAGTAGGCTGAAGGAAGCCCTAGAAGTGTATTCCTGTATAAAGATAAATTGCACCCTTTGAGATCCACACACTTGATTTACAACAACTGAAGTTGTGGAGGTGTGAGGACTCCCAAACAGTGTGGAAGTGTGTGTCCTTTGAGATGAACAAAGCCTCCAGACAAGGCAGTGCCATCTGGCTGGCCTGGAATGCTGTCACACAAGCAGATTAGCAATAAAATTATTTGGGTTGAAATGGCTACAGAGCCATGATTTTTAGCCAGTTTGTAAACCTTACATCTTCCTGATTTGGTAGTACAGCTGAACACCCCTCCCCTCTCTGACTTGTGTAGTGGAAGGAGAGGGGATTATCAATAGATACGCATATAAAGGAGGGCAAATTTTCCTCCTGTGAAAGACTAATTAATAGAAAAACAAAATCAAACCAACAACCTCATGCAGTGTTGCCAGTGATTTTTAGACACTGATCCAGAGCACTGGGCTATACAGACATTTAAGAAAGTATTAAGAGATAAAGTATCAATTATTAAACAGTTGTAAGTTGGTTCCAATTATCAAATGGAAAAAAATGAGTGTAGCTAAGAGGCACAGGTAGGTGGTCAGTAAAGGGGTGCAGGAGGGAGAGATTCCTGGTAACTCTGCAGAGACTGGGTCCGATTTAAAATAAATGCTAATGATATGCACTCAGATTGCCATCCACATATCATGAGAATCTGCTTTTCTGGTATATTTATTTACTCCTATGTCAAAAATAGGGAAAGTTAAATTAAAAAAAAAATAGAGCAGAGTGGGGTGCTGGTGTGTTACTGTTTTGCTGACTCTGCAGAGAAGATGCAAGAAACAAACACCCCCAGCGTCACTTTCTCTTTATGAATCTCTCGACTATATAACTGCATCATTTTTATCCAGAAAGTGAGATACTTGGTTAAGACAATATTCACTAAGCCCTTTGATCTTATATTCCACAATGCCTGATCCTCAGGTTTTAACACTCCCTTCTTCCCTCAGATCCTTTCTGTTTTTATTTTATAATTAAAGGTAAAAACGCTCTACCCCCACATGGTTCCCAGCTTCCACCTGCAATGCTTTAATTAAAAAGGCAAACAGGTGTTCCTTCTGCTGGGATTCAGAGGCTCTTTGCAGATCAATCTTTTTCACCAATTTGTCGGAGAGGCAGATGTACTTGTAATGGGTCTCTCAGTCTCTTAAGGTCCATTTCTGCCTGAGCAATTGCATCCTTGAGTTGATTGTATTTCTCTAGGTCAAAACGTGACTTTTTGGCTCCTTTATGGAAAAATAATAAGTATTGTCTGTCTCTGGCTTCTGGATAAACATACTCCTGGCGTGTCATTACAAAATACGCATACATTGCCATGGCACTTCCATAAGTGATGAAGTAGGTGACCGGCGGCTCCCTGATGTCCCAGGAATATTCCCACCAGGTAAGCCGGGCCAAAATGCCAAACTGTGTGGCCATGTAGGCAAGGCCACCCCATAGCACCAAAGTGGTCCTCTTCTCAGCTTTTCTGCTAATCTCAATTCTTACCTTTTCCTGGGGAGCCAGTTGCTCTTTGAGATCCTCTAGTCTTTCAAAAGCTCCCTTTCCTTGTTTAACTGGTGCTGCTCAATGCACAGTGTGGTATATAGCTGCTGGACCAATGTCTTTACATCATTCAACGTTGCTGCATTTTCATGACTTAAGAGGTCTCTTTTTGGTGGTCGTACATGATATGTCAAGTCATTAATGACCAGCTTAAAGTCATCAAGGAGGAGGAGATCTATCCCTGCTGAAGCAGCAACACGAACGCCATCTGGTGAATAGACAGCAACTCTGTCAATTCCCCGATCCTCTTCTTGCAGTTGTAAAAACACACCAACAGAGTCAGAGATAGGCTTGAGTGTGAACGGACAGCGTTCACGCCGGGATGGTAGCCTCACAGATATCACAGGTAACCCATTTTGATAAATCACTGTAACATCATCAGAGGGCACAACAGTACGGCAATAAACAACTCTCAAATTCTGCCAGGAAGAGAGCCTCTGGTGTACCGTCCGGTGGTGCTGCTGCTGCCGGTGGCGGCTGACGCCCAGCCCGGGGAAACAGCCTGCAGTCAGCGCCCCGCAGCCCCCGGCGCCCGCTCCGCCGCCCCGAGAGGACAGGAGCAGCAGGAGCGATCTACCTGCGGCGGCCGCCATCTCTCAACTGCTTTTTTAAATCTTATAGTAGAGATAGTCTGTCTATATTGCCCAGGCTGGTCTTGAACTCTTGGCCTCAAGCAATCCCTCTGACTTGGCCTCCTAAAGCTCTGGGATTACTGGCCTATAATTATCTCCAGTCATTATCACATTCTAAAATAATTAGCATTTCCTAAATATCAAATAACTAATGTTACAATCAATTTCCAGTTATCTCATAAATGTTATAAAATGTTTTAACCATTTGTTTATTTGAATTAGGGTCCAAATAAATTCTAAAATTTGCAGTTGGTCTCTATGAATCTATGGGTTCCTTATTATTGTTTATTATTATTTCTTATTATTTTTATTTTTTTTAACAATATAACTTACTTTTTATTGAAAGTATCCTGCACTCATGATGGATGTTTTCTGAATTTTACCACATATTTTAATGTTAAAAGTTAAATTATTTTTTACATGCAAGTAATGTAAATAATTTTCCCCACATGGGAGCACTGATTATAAAAAGATGACACCCCACATAGGTTAAGTGTCTTTAACTGAAAAGCTAACAAACTGTCCAGTTCCATTTCTCCCAAAAAACCACAAACTGGGTAGGAACTGAGTCTCTAGGCAATATATTTAAAGCTAAGAGGATTAAAAATAAAATTAAAGATAAGGAAAACAAGTCCTCAGATGCAATGAAGGGAGGAGCCCTGCTAAATACAGGCTACTCAATACAGTGGTAGTCCTTGCCTGCAGGAGGCTGAAAGACATGCTAGTAACTCCACTCAGAACATTTACTTCAAGAAGCCTTTTCCAGTTTCCAACTCATGAATAAAGATAATATTTTGTTAATTCTATTCCAGATAACTTTTTTGCAGGTTGTTTTATTTACAATGCCAACTTTTAAAAGGTCACTAAAGTTAACTGGACAATAAACTAGGCAGACATTGCTTTACAAAAAAGAGGGAAAGCCCAAAATGCCACTTATAGAGAACCCACAGTTCAGTTTTATTCAGAGCGAAGAAAAAAGAAACTTTCAATCATACTAGAAGAAACTCAGCCATAGATTTGGAATCTGTACTCAAACTACACATGCAATGAGGACAATATTCTGCTAATACAATTGACTTGCTGCTGCTTTTGTCTACTGTTTGTCTAATATTAACAATTATAAACAGAGCAGTGCAACTAGTATTTGGAACAATCCTTACAGTGTTACAGTGTCAGGCACAACATTTCACTTCTCTTCACATCACTGGTTCTCTTTGCGTACCTGGGCTTCCTCCTCTTCGGTAAAGTCATTTTTGATATTGAAGGTCTTGCGAATCTCTTCAGGAGTTTTCCCCTTGATCATATTGGCAACAGTCTTGCATGTAACATCAAGCAAACCTTTGATGTCTAAGAAGTTTGCAGCCAGAATGAGTTCAAAAAGTGTTCCTTGGTCAACTTTCAGGAATTCTTGGTCCCAAACAGGAATATCATCTGTTTGCTTTTCTTTGTTCTCATCATCCTCAGGAGGAGGAGGCTCATCCTTGTGGTGGGTGCACCCCTGAATGACCTTTTTTAATGTTGCCGCACTAACATTTGGCAGAGGAACTGGGTCATCATCTCCTTCATCATCCATTCCCAAATCTTCCAACATGGTCTTGATAGTCACAGATTGTTTGGCAATTTCCACATCAACTTCAAATATCTCTCCATCAGAACTCTGCAATTTAATTGAAGGCATGGCGTTCGGTGTTAAGGAGATGGCTGGCCGAAGGCTGACGAGAGCCGCAAGGCGTCAGACAAGAGAGAGAAAGGCTAAGAACGAAGCCACTACAGCGGCGCGGCGCGGCGTCTGCTCTTATTTTATTTTATTTTGTAATGAAGTCTCGCTCTGTTGCTCAGGATGGAGTGCAGTGGCACGATCTCGGCTCACTGCAACCTCCACCTCTCGGGTTCAAGCGATTCTTCTGCCTCAGCCTCCTGGATAGCTGGGATTACAGGCACACACCACCACTCTTGGCTAATTTTTGTATTTTTCGTAGAGATGGGATTTCACCATATTGGCCAGACTGGTCTCGAACTCCTGACCTCATGATCACCCACCTTGGCCTCTCACAGTTCTGGGATTACAGGCATGAGCCACTGCACCTGGCCTCCTTATTATTTTTATTTCCTTGCAATTTATATTTAAGAAATCAAGTCATTTGTCTAATGGTTTCCCACAGTATTTTTTTTTTCTGCCTGCATCATGAAGGTGTTGTTTAATATGTTCTGTATTTCCTGTAAATTGGTATTGTATTTAAAGCAGTAGTTTTCCATCTTTAGTGAGCATCAGAATCACCTGAATGATTTGTTACAACAAGTTGCTGGGCCCTACCCTCAGAGTTTCTAATTCCGGTTTAGGATAAGTCCCAAAAGTTTGCACTTCCGGCAACCTCCTACGTGGTTGATGCTGACCACACCTTGGAAATTATTGATGTAGACTGAACTGAGGCTCAATCAGATTTAAATCTGAGTTTTTTTTAAAAGCAAGACTATCTCACAGGCAGTGTCGTGTTCTTCCTTCAGGAGGAACACAGTATGTGTATGTGATGTTAGCAGCCTTTGATGCTCAGTGCCCAAATCCATTCATTCATTTGGTGTTGAAATGATGATATTCTAATCATATCATTCTTATTTTATTTATTAGCTAGACTATTTCTAGAAAGAGAAACTCCCTCATCTACTAAATGACTACTCACTGGTGTGGTTCATCCAGAAAAGATCAATTTTGAGCACAACGCATTGGTTCACTAGCATCTTCCAATGATAAGCAATGAGAGTTTTTTGTTATTAATATTATTATGTATAATGACATTGTGACATAATGACCAGACATTCCCCAGTCTCTCTCTTCACAGGCCTCCCTATTCCCTGAGACACAATGATATTGAAATTAGGCCAATTAAACCCTATAAAGGCCACTAAGTGTTCAAGTGAAAGTCAGTTACACACTCTCACTTTAAATTGAAAGCTAGACATAGCATGCAATATATTTGGTGTGTTTCAAGCATCATCGTATTATTCTTACTGATTCTCAAATTATCTCATCTTTGGCCATGGAGAAACTCTTCAGGTTGGCTCGTGCATCCCTGTAAGGTGTGTTTGCTGTATTCTTTAAGAATGTTAAAGTCTGCTATAGAAAGTAGGAGGAAGAAACAAATATGGAGACTAGATGAAATTAAGTGTTGAAGCAAGTAGCTTTTAAGACATGTTAGACCTTGTAAGTAGAGCAGATGTGTGCTGATATAAGAAGGGATGGGCAGGCCAAGTAGACATAAGACATATGAAACACCAAATATTTATGAGGCACTGAATATTCACAAAATCTTAAATCAGCCATCCCTTTGTGAGACCCATTCTGGCAATCTGCCTCCTCTGCCTGAGATACGCAGATAAAACCCATAGATGCCCAACAGGGTGACTGGCAAGCTAGAGCCGTAGCCAAGGATTCTTGCCCTTGCCTTCCTACAATAGAACAAGAGTGTTTGGGCTCCAGCCACAGTCAATCTGCTGAGTCCCCCTGCTTATCCACAACTCGGGTTATTGTAACCATCAGTGGGGAAGGCTGATGCAGTAGGAAGATTAGGCATGTAAGCATTAAATAACACAGGACTCACATAGGGTGCTTTTTCTACCCTGTGCTAAGGGTGTTAACTTTCCTCATCTCTTTTCCATTACTTCTTACTAAACGTTTAATTGAGTTGATAAACCAAGTCATTCAGGGTCATAATTTTGTCTGTGAGCCATTCTGTTCTGTGACCTCTGGGATAGCTTGTTACATAATATATTAGAAGGTTATATACATTATATATATATGAGAAGGTTGCATCAAGGTAATTTCTCACGTGACAGTCCTTTTGACCCATATAACAAGACGTTCCAGGCTCATCTTGAACGCTTCTTGCCATAGACTTAAAATCATCCACAGTTCTTCAAGGAACCCTGATTCCTTTTAGTAGGAAATGGTGTTTGAGCCTACAATTTGGGTATTAAGGGTATACTGCTACGAAGTTGTTAAATATTTTTGTGACTCATCTACTGCTTTATGTATAAAGCATAAAGCTTTATAAAGAAGTTTTATTACCTCATTTTATTGCACTTCACTTTATTGCACTTTGTAGATACTGTGTTTTTTATATGTTGAAGGTTTGTGACAACCCCATGTAAAGCAAGTCGTTTTCCAACAGCGTGTGTTCACTTCATGTCTCTGTGTCATGTTTTAGTAATTCTCACAACATTTCAAGCTTGTTTATTATTATTATATATGTTAAGGTGACCTTTTATCAGTGATCTTTGATGTTGCTCCTGTAACATCAAAGACTTGTTTGGGGGCGCAACAAACCACGCCCATGCATTATGGCAAACTTAATCAGAAAATGTTGTGCGTGTTCTGACTGCTCCATGGACCGGCCAGTCCCCAGTCTCTCTCCCTCTTCTCAGGCCTCCCTGTTTCCTGAGACACAGCAGTGTTGAAATCAGGCCAAGTGAACCCTACAATGGCCTCTAAGTGTTCAAGTGAAAGGCCGTTGCATGTCAGTCAAATCAAAAACTAGACATGAGTAAGCTTAGTGAGGAAAGCATATGGAAAGCAGAGATAGACCGAAAGTTAGGCCTCTCACACCAAACAGCTAGCCAAGTTGTGAATGCAAAGGAAAAATTTTTTAAAGAAACTCAAAGTGCTACTTACTCAAATGAACACTTGAATGATAAGAAAGCAAAACAGCTTTATTGCTGATGTGGAGAAAGTTTGAGTGGTCCGGATAGAAGATCAAACCAGCCACAACCTTTCCTTAAGCCAAAACCTAATCCAGGGCGGGGCCCTAACTATGCTCAATTCTATGAAGGCTGAGAGAGGTGAGGAAGCTTCAGAAGAAAAGTCTGCAGCTAGCAGAGGTTGGTTCATGAGGTTTAAGGAAAGAAGTCATCTCCATAACATAAAAGTACAAGGTAGACCAGCAAGTGCTGATGTAGAAGCTGCTGAT